AGGGGGGAGAGACATTCCAGGGCAAGTGCCTCCTCAGCCCACAACAAGAGTGTGGGAAGACGAAAAGGATGAGGCTGGCCCCTCCCTAGAGTGTCACGGGGTATAGCCACTAGTTGCTTTAGCATAGGTTTAGTCTGGTGAGATTCTGTCTATTAGGTGCAAGCTAATAAAGGAACTGAACTATTGCCTTGTTGCTGTTCTTGGGCTGAACCTGACATGTCTCTTGATAATATTAACAAATGAGTCTATTGCAGAAGTGTAAACATGATCTTGCTAAGGGTACCTCCAGTGAAGGGTTAGGTGGTAGTACCAATCAAAATCATTGTGCAGCTATTCTGTGTTTTTATTTTAGTGTTTTTTTGTTTGTTTTTTTGTGTTTTGTGGAAAGCAAATAAAGTAGATCAAAGAAACAGTGGGAACTGTTCCTTGAAGGTTCCACTTGAAATATGTCATCTGGACCCCCTGGAAAATTCTGTGATTGAGACAGGTCATTGGTGGCCTTGAGCAAAAATTCTTGGATTAAAATCAATATTTGCAGATGGCAGTGGAAACTGCATTTAAAATTAAAGCTATAGGCATCATGAGGATTCTTGGTTTCTGCACAAAATCAGCTTCTGCTGTGCCATTAGCCAGCATGGACTTAGCACTGGATTGCCTAGAGCCTGCAGGGGTTAAATGATTCTGCAAGAATACGCATAATCAGCGTGTACAGGGGGAGGTGGGAAAAACTAATGTCTGAGCGTTAGGCATGTTCAGTTATAACTGTGCATGTAAATCTTTTAGGAAGTCAAGTGGCCAAATGTCCTCACTTCTAAATCCATGTCATCAGTCCATTTGTCTACCACTTAATGCTCTGCACATCAACACTGTATCCCTCATCCTTCCTCCTTTCTGGTTTAATGCCACTGCCCTATTACTTATTTCCAGAAGCGGCAGAAGTTGGCTGGTAGTTGTAAAACATACCTACAGTTTTAGAATTTACTTACATATGGTCTGGTATACACATACATACAGTACATACATACACATATACATATACAGACATGCATACATATTCACATATACACTCTTTTGACAGCATGTTTAAGAAAGGATGTGCTTTATATTAAACTAAGATGCCCCATCTAGCAAAGGAAGTCCTAGTGTGAAAACATAGATAGATGTCTCACGAGGTAGAACCTTTTGCCACACTTAATAGCATTTACTTTGACTCTTCAATTCTCAGACCAAGATACTGTACGTTCCTATTGTTTACTGCCTGATCCTTTTTAAATTGCAGTTGCAAAAACTGAGACTTAGGGTCTACAGTAAACCTATGTACATGCTGCATTTCTGGATGCTGATGGTCATCTTGATGCAGATTCTTTCCTGCTCACAGGGTTCTAGATATCTGGACCTTGTGCATCTTTTGACACAGTTAGGATTTCCTCCTTCCCCATCTGGGCCTATCAGTTATTAAACATGCAATCCAGAGCTGGATTGATTTCCAGAATATACAGTTTTTCCAAAATTCAAAGCAAATGGCAAGGTGTGGGGAGGGTGAGGTGGGTAATGCAACTTCACTTGCAAGGTATTGTGTTCAAACAAGTCCTCTTAAAGTTAATGTTTGAGGATCAAAGCCTGAATTGTAAATATTCTGTTGCCAGTAAAGCACAGCCTCAAACCATACATGCTTTCTTTGTATAGCTTTATTACTTTTCCTTTATCTTTATAGGCTATGAACAAAGTGATATATGCCCATAAGCTTTAAAAGCTAATATAGGAATGTGGTGGGGTTTTAATAGAGAAAAGAAAGATAACTTTATAGCACCTAGTAATTTAGACCTTTACTACATAATAAACATTATTAACAGTTGAAATCTGTGGGCCTTTGCCTTCCTTTTCAAATCCTTGATTTGAGTGGCACTTTCTGTATCTTCACTCCATTTGTACGTGTGTGTGTGTTTACCTCAGCAGAAATTCTGACACAGATCTCAGTGAAATAATCCTCATCTTTCTCTTACAGATCCGATATATTTCACAGACACAAGGCTTACCAGCTGAATATTTGCTAAGTGCAGGAACGAAGACCACAAGGTTTTTCAATAGGGATACGGATTCACCATATCCACTGTGGAGGCTAAAAGTAAGATGCTGTTTTCCTGTTTTCCGGAGCACCATGACAGCCTGCATTTCATAAGATTGAAATATTGCTGACAAGCTTGACAAAATTATGATGATGTGCTCATGCACAGTTGCTGCAATCAGTGATTCCATTTTGGTCTGGTTTGAAGGGTTTATTTATTTAATTAAATTTGTTATGGCTGCCCACGCTCAGCCGCTTGTACAGGACAAGCTGAGCTGTGTCTTGCACAAGGCAGGAACTTCATTTTCTGATCATTTAAGAATCAGAAGCAAGCTCATAAAAAGAGTTTCATGAATTATACCAAGTACAGATTCTTCCTGCTTGTCTTGCTACTATTGGTATGGAAGACGGAAGGCTTTTATTGGAGATGACCTTGTTGCTCAAGACTTCCTGGCTCAAATTCTGTAATTTCTAGAATAATCTTATGAAGAGAAACTGAATTGTATTTTACTGATATTGCTAATATTACTGCCCCCCATTAATAAAGCCATGCAGTCTCACTCACTGTGGTATCCCAGGATAATATCAGGTACCTTTGACCTTTAGGGAAGACAAGGATGAGGAATCTTGGTGATGCCTGATGGGTTGCGTTCATTTCTGCAGAGCTTCATGTTACAGCAGATACAATCAAAACCATAAATGGTTAAAGGAACAGTGTTTATTTCTTTCCCTTTTCCCCTCCCTCCCTCCCTTTCCCTTTATGTCTCCCCAACCCACCTGTATGAGGACAATATAGATGAGTTCAGAAGGTGCCACTTCTGAGTCAAGAGTCCATTCACTTACTGTGAGACCGTGTGTTGCTGAGCCTGCATTCCACATATGATGAAAATATAGCAATGATTTGAAATATTGCATAGATTTATTTTCATTCCCTTGAAACTCCTTGTGAGATGGACAATATACATATATTGGATAATGTTACCTTGGAGTTGTGCTTAAAGCTATGGCAAGTTTTGTATCAGTCATGTGAGTTAGCAATAGATTTGGTATATAGTAAAATGTTGGTTTCATTATCTTTTGGTTGATTCTGGGCAGACACCAGATGATCATGAGGCAGAGACGGGTATCAAGTCAAAAGAAGCAAGGAAGTATATTTTCAACTGTTTGGATGACATGGCACAGGTAAGAATATTGCAGGAACATCACATTCATCAATAACTTCCAAGCAAAACATCTACAAGTGTATAGATGTATGTACAAATTGTCCCCTCTCATGGTTTTAAGGGGACAAATAAAAAAGAGGTAAAGGTACCTTTGAGTCAAGCTCAATTCCTCATGCGTACAGGAACACATCTATGTAGTTTTAGGGGACACCAGCATGGAGGCAGTTTACCACTGCCTTCTAGGATACTTTTTGACTTCGTGACCTTTTCACCCATAAGCCTGGTATTCCCTAGTGATCCCCTTCCCAATTCTGCTAAGCTTGAGCCCAAACCAGCAGGGGGGTTAGAAGACTGTACTGGCTAGCCTTCTCCTTTCTCCCCATCATACTTATTAGTTCTGGATACAGTGCTATCTGAAGGATTTTATCCAATTGCATCTACAGTATATGAGGAAAGACTCCACTACTAGTAGAACTCTTCTATGAGAGGGAAATGCATAATATTACCAGATTCTGATCAATCTGTATTCCTTCTTGTAGGAAAACTGTGTATGTGTAAGTTGGGAATTTGAGTTTAATCTCTGTCCATCAAAAATCTAAATACAGTTATAGCCCCAATTTAAACAGGAAGAATGATTGAAACATGGTAGAAAATGATGTGCCTCTTAATGCAATCAATTTCTTTGTTCCATATTTAACATAAGATGTTGCTAGTTTTTGTACATCAATTGGTGATTTTCAGGTTTGGCAACCAGAGGACTTCACAGAATGTGAGGCTTGGATAAAAAAGTCCTAAATTGAGATTACCACTCAACCATGAAATTAACTCAGTGCTCTTGAGCTGATGACCAATTTTCAAACTACCTTTACTTCAAAGGATTGTTGTGATGATAAAAAAGGAGAGGACCATGGATATGGACTTAACCTCCTTCAAAAATGCAGTATATAAAAGATAATAAATAAGTAAATAAAAATAATTATGGTGCCTCATCAGCCTCCACTGCCAAAGCTGGCTTGTAATCCATTCAGAGATATCATTATCAGAATGGTCCCAAATTTCATGCACAGCACCATGAATTCTTCCATCGATCCAAAAGAACTTTAGGTAAATTATACATTGGTGGTTTAATTTGCTTTTCAGCCTATGTTATTGGCAATGAATAACATAGCTGCCCAGAGTCACCTGTTGGGGGAGATGGGCGGCATACAAATTTAATAAATAAATAAACAAACAAACAAATAAATAAAATGAAGGAGCTTCTTATGAGGAGCTTAGGAGCTTTTCCTTATAGAGAAGATCAGTAAATCACAGATTTCTCACTGATTTTAATCTCCCCCCCCCTTACAATATATACCACACAGAAAAGTGAGTTCTAGAACTGAGAGGGAGATTTTTAAACAGGGATGCTTAACTAGGTAAACCAGCTTCTCACACATTATATTTTATATATTGGCAACCCCACCCCCCCATTTTTAAAGTGCAGCATTTGTGCTTCTTTACCCAGAATGGGGAGGTCCAGCAGTATAGTGGTCAGGGCCCCCTGTAATACAACATACTTCTTAAAATACATCTCATACTATTGTGTAGCATGAACTGGTTCTCCAGTTTATTCAACAGAGAAGTTGATGTGGAAAACATTACTATGGGTCAACAAGCTGAAAACTATAATCTTGGTGGGACGTACCACATCTTAAACATACATAGAGGGAGAAAGTGACATTATCATATTTTTCTGTGTGCATTTGGAATAACTATGCACAAATGGGATGTGCGTGACCAATTGAAGACTCTACCTCTCCAAAGATTATTGATTTTCTACTGACTCTTCTTAGGTTATGCCAAATATACATGAGGAGTGAAGAAGAACCTGCAGGTTTGATTTCTCTAGTCCTGGGCTTGTAGACATGTGTATCTGCTATTGATTTCAGTTTCCCTTCCAGGTGAATATGACAACAGATTTGGAAGGAAGTGATATGTTGGTGGAAAAGGCAGACCGGAGGGAGTTCATAGATCTGTTAAAGAAAATGTTGACGATAGACGCGGATAAGAGGATAACGCCAATTGAAACACTCAATCACCCATTTGTCACCATGACACACTTGCTTGATTTTCCCCATAGCACCCAGTATGTTTCTTTCTCTCTGCTTTGGGTTGGAGATCTTGGAGAGGGGGGGACTGAAAAATGGGATGGAAGGGAGGGTTAACTGATAAACTGCCAGATGTACCTCTTGAGATGGTAACAGGTTTTGCCCAAAAGTATTTGGATATACAGAACTTAGAGACCGAGAAAGCAGTTAATAAGAAGATAATATTCTTATTTTCATGTCTTTAGTAGGCAGCTCTTGTCCTAGAAATGGTTTATTCTGCGTTATTTTAATAGCTCTGGAGACATGAGATATTATTCAAGAATGGCATCTCTGGTTCTTTACTCCAGTGATTTATTCATCTGTTCCTTAGCTGCTTCAGGTATTTCATTTTTAGTCAGCAACAGCTAGGAAATCTGGGAGGGTGACTGGGCTCCTTTAACAAGAAGGCAAGAGTATTTTGTTCCCCTTATTTTCTAGAGCAGTGTTTCTCAACCTTGGCCGCTTTAAGCTGTGTGGACTTCAACTCCCAGAATTCCCCCCCCCCCCCGTGTCGCTGGGGGATTTTGGGGAGTGGTGTTGACCGGCTACAGCAGGCCCTGGTGCTGCGGCCCCCTCCTGCGAGCG